AACCCCATTTTTTAAAAACATTATTTGAGTTTATTTTCTTGTAGCATAGCAATGTTGCCTGGTTATATGGTTGATCCACCTTAGTAAGGTTACTGACATCCAGCCCACTTTTGGGTGTCATGTCCTGAAAAATGTTTTGTTTACTGCAAAAACAAGTGCCACAAACCATGTCTGGTATTTGCAGGCACTTCCTGAATCTTCAGGTGGCTGTGACTTTCCTGGAACTTTCTGACCCATATTACAGGTTAACTTAATTCTGATGACACAGAAAATATATTTTTTCTCAGAGTGATTTTGTTTTGTAAGCCATACATTTGTCAGTCTTCTCAAAATTGTGTCATGTTCCATTTAAGTTCTGGAGCTAACAGAAACTGACTCTGAAGGAGCTATGTTTGGGGTTTCAATATTAAAATATTGAATAATCATATGTCATTCTGAAGCTTCTGTACTTTGATTGCAATCTTATATTTTAAAAGACTCTTCATGAAGACACTTCTAAAAGACTGATACCCCAGCATCAGTTTGAATTGCAACAATTGGCCAAAAAATTTTTGCTTTAAGAAATAATAATATGTTTGAAAGGAAAGAAATCGTCATAAGAGACAGTCATTCATTCATTTGTGTTAAGGAAAAACAGATTTGGTAATGAGTAGTTTGGGAACCTGACCCTGGAGAGCAGTCTGGGTGTCCCACAGAACAACAGATGTTTAACTCCTCTCTGCAGCCGCCATTCTGCCGCCCTGTCACTGCCCCTGTCTTTGTGTGTTAACCAGCTCTACGTGTGTCCGTCTCCTCCTGTCATTCACAGACCTCTGTTTAGCGCTAATTAGAGATCCGCCTTCTCCCCGCTCTCCCTGCACTTCCACCCTGAAACCTCATCTTTCTGCTTACTGTTCTAAGCAGTAATCATCCAACCTCAGCCGTCCTACTTCCACCTCCCGTCTCTTCCCTCCTCTTCTCGTCCTCTGCTCCTCCCTCTTGTCCTCCTCATTATGCCCCAGTCTCAGTTGTGATGGCCATCATTAATCAACTCCTTTTGAACAATGTTGGACCTTGTAACCCTGAACACCCATCTCTCCTCAACCAGGAAGTGTTTTATTCCCCTGCTGTCCATTAGGCCAACTGGAGCAAACCAAGGGCATGACAATAGATACAAGAATAGAAACCAAAAGCAGATATTAGATGAGATGTCGCAATAGGACACAGACAGCAAGAGAACAATGGGTCTTATTATGTTTTATCGGTTGGGGATTTTCTACTTGGCCCAGGGATATATATAGTCATATGTTACTTTACTAATGTGCCGGCTGTTGTAGTCTTGTCTTGCATCTGCCCAGTACTTACATCTGTCAGATGAGCAGCAAACCACACATAGAATATAAAGCGAGTAATTAGTATAAGCAGTGATAGCAATAACGGCTGAAGAAAAGAGAGATATCTGCTCAAACAGACATTATATCGACAGTAAATCAACACCACACTATTAGCTTGTGCAAAAGGACTCCAGCAACTGTATTTGAATGAGATTTATCCACTGTATATACTACTGGTGTCCTTACCATGTCTAGCAGTAACAGACAACATAAGAATCTTGATCTTTTCCACCCTACAACAGTGGTCTTCAGGTTATGGCTTAGTCAGGATGATGGTCCTTGGGTCACAATTAGTTGAAAACCCCTGATATTTAGTACCAAATTTTTATTTTTAAGCTTTTACTGCCATTCTCCTATGCCATGCTGGAATGGTGTCAACCTTTTCACCTCTTAATTATGGTGGGTGACAGGCATCACCCACTGGCTTAACCTCTTTTTCATTTGTATATGAATAGAGGAAACATAAATGGTTCCTTTTATGGCAGAGAAGAACAATAGCCTGAGAAGTTCTGTTTCTGTCAGACTTGCCCTTGTCCATTTTGACCCTGTGGTCTACACTGTTGCTCTTGTCCATGTAAGCCTGTATGAGTGTGTGAGTGCCTTTGCACGCATGCTTTCTTGTCATGTGTACGATGGCTGAAAATACTCCCAGCTCATCTATAACACAGCATTCACAATACCATCATTTCAATAGATCATCTTCCCAAAAAATTCCATGTATATCAGAAGAGGAGCTATAACTGAGATGCAGCAACTTACAACAGACAGCGAACAGTAAAATGCCAGAGCAGCTGACATTTAAGATTATTCAAATTTACATTTAGTGAAAGACACCCAGCTATACAGGGAGCAATACCAAGTGAAACAGTAGCTGCAAACTGATGTGTTGTACCATAGCTTCAGGTATAGTTACATTTACAGTACGTATTGATTTTTCTCAACTGAGCTGTTGTTGTAATTGAAAAATGCCCATTTTTATGTAGTGCAATGTAAACATTTGTATTAGGCTGACTCTGAATCATATATTTTAATGTATAAAAGTGGCAATCAACACACACCTACCACTGTACTCCTGTACAGTTGTGTGCATTTCAACATCTGCCTCAACATTTGTGTTTATGAAGCTCAAAATGTTTCTGCTTTTGGTGAAATTGTCGTAAATGTATACATTCAATGATATGTTTATTATTGAGGTCATAGTTAAAGGTGGCGTTGTACTGGACGACATTATATTTAGAGGTGTTCTAATATTCTGACCCTCTCGTGTATGTAGCTGGGGAGGACAAAAGTATGGAGACATCTCTGAATATAAAGTAGTCACATGCGGTATATCAGTTTAACAGATACTGCTGAAGGTGAAGCTTCAGCTTCAGCTTCAAAAGTCTTTGATAATCAATGTTTCAATATTTTACTCAAACAAGACACAGACAGGTCAGCCTCACTCACCTGATCATTCTGTCCTCACACTAGACTATATTACAGTGCAAAGTATCAGCTTATAACTGCTATCTCTTTTTGTACAGATATACAGTAAGCTATGTGCATGGGTTATGTCTGCAAAGTATCAGCTTATAACTGCTATCTGTTTTTGTACAGATATAAGCTATGTGCATGGGTTATGTCAACACAAAGACTGTTTTGTTAAGGGTTATTAACCTGGAAATCTACTGTCCATAAATGACAATTACATATTTTACAACATAATATCTCTCAGTGGTGTGAAATTTCAAGTTCTATGTGCTTTAGAGGGCCATATCTTAATGTGACATTTGTGCTTGGATATCATTGTCAAGATAGTCTATGGTACGAGCTTCATTAAATGGTGTGATAACCTTTCACTCCCTTATCTAATAGACAACAGATCACAGAGTATTAATTATGTTACAGCAGGCTTTTACAACCTTAGATTTATTCTGCATCATACATTATTCTTACTTGTCTGACAATGGCATTGGGAAAGAATTAAGTAATAACTAACGAATACAGCTGTTTAAACTCACAAATTATGAGTGCAAGAGCATGAAACATTTAGAGAAATGTGAAATTATAGCAGTCAGCGTGACATTTCTGCATTCTTTTCTTATTTTTGCTTTTGCACCCCCCTGTAATGTACATGCTATACTCATGTGATTCATTGTAATGACAGATATTATAACTTGTAAATTAGATATCTGTCAAAGTGCTGGGTATGTATTAGTTAAATGCAGAAAGAGGCTTTATGAGGACGTTTTATGCTTCATTAGCTGATTAGAATAAGTCTCAGCTATAAGTGCTGTTCATGCTACAGTTTTGGCAGTTTAGTACACTTTTACTTCTATGAGAATGATAACTTTGTTAAAAGACCAGGAAACCATTATATCATGATACTCACATAATCATTTGCCTGGATGGTCACACACACACACCCTAGGGCCATTTAGTTCAATCTTGGGTAGATCAGCAGGTGTTGGTGTGTTTGTCTATGAAGTCAGGCCAGTTTGTTTTCCCAAGCCTATAACTATCTCTTATCAGTCCTGTCAACTGGCAGGAAATCACCAAACTGTGACTCATTGATACCTTGAGAGGAATTAAAAGGTGCCTTCTGCAAAAATGGGTTTAGACTCAGACCTTGTTTACAGTCATTTATAAACTACACCTTTCCATCTGACTACCTTTTAGAAGAGGTCTTAATTGCTATACTGTTCAGTACAGGGTGTATCCAGTAGGAATAAATGTCTACGGCAGGGTTTTGTGTCACCTGTCCACTTGGTCTGTGTGTGGCTCTTGCAGGTAGAGAAAATGAGTTTACCTTCTGTCATTTTACTGCTCCTTTATCTGCTTCATGGTGTGGTGATGACCAATAATCATAACAGCAACTGCTGATAGGAATAGATGTAGGAATAAAGTTTAATAAAAATTATTTGCAAAGTCATGAATGCTGTCATTTTTTTAAAGTGAGATGACAGTAATTAAGGTAATATATAATATGTAAATTGTGTTTGTGTGCCTCACATGTTCATCAATGTGTCTGTGAAAACTGTGAGAAAGCTAAACCTCAATCACACCAGATGTAAGTGAAACTGGATGTCACACTGCTAGAAAGATAACATATACCTTATAAACAGGACTGTGAATGCTTAAGATAAAATTACATTTAGCAGAAAAGCATTGCCTATACACTGAAAATAAGGACTCACTGGGTCTTCGGATTTACACAAATTATGCTAGTATATGCAACGCAATTCATTCATATTTCCTCTGTTAACATAATTCAAACAAGTTAACCCCTAAAGAAAATTATGTTGGTTTTACACATTATCATTGTGTGGGACCGATGTACACATTACAATCAAGTAAATCCAACAAATCTTTTTTTTCAGTGTATTTTGAAGCATCTACTATAAGATTGTGATACGACCACATAACTCAAACTTAAATTACTGCAGTGTTGTATTTTATTACTGTAGAATTTGCTATACATCTGATCCAGGAGTGCATGATTGTCTATATTTAACCCTTGAGAAGAACGAGCATACCCTGCTCCTGTGTCTCAAGGCTGTGGCCAATCACAACGCAGCAGACTTTATAGCTCTACAGGGTGCAAGTCATTTTTCAGCTCACTGAAGTGGCTTTTACGCACATGCCATTAAGTGGCGTGAGTCAGAAAGAAGACATTTCTTCCACAAGAGGAATGACAATAACGAGGGGTTTCTGCAAACTTTAAATGCTTACATAGCAATTAGAAACCAATTTAAAGTTCACCTGGGGGGGTTATTTCAAGTTTTGCAAATAAGTTGCTCACAAAAACAGGAGGCCCGTTTAACACCTACTGTGCACTCGCGAAATCTTTGAACAGAATGACTACCACCATGGAGAAATCCAAAAACTTTCGCATTGATGCGCTATTGGCGCACGACGTGGAGCAGAGGACGGACAGCGACTGTGCGTCCCCGGGCTTATATTACAGCAGGAGCCCAGGAGACAGTCCGGAGTCGAACCGCGGCTCTGAGACGCCCTCCCCTCAGCCAGATCCAACAAACTTCTTTCCAGCGCAGCCTGAAGTTCTCAACCTATCCCAGTCCGGATTTGTTGCTCTGCAGCAAGAAGGTCTCATCGGAATTTACCCGGGTTCCATGTACCCCCTGCCGGCCCTTGGAGGCCACCACCCCGCCTTCATATACTCCGGCTTCTCGCAACTGGTCCATCCGTACCCGGAACAGCTGAAAGGGGCCAACATGGCAGGAACACCCCCGCTGGAGCACTGGATCAGAGCTGGGCTGATGATACCCAGATTGGGAGAATATGGAGGTGAGAGGCTTTCCCTAGTAGGTTGTCCCTGGCATTTAGTAAGCTATTACATGATTGCATTTACATTAAATATAATCATATAATGGCCCATTTTACAGAAGCTTTTAATAGTTTTGAAGTAATAGGCTAAATATTATAATAAATATACATTTTTATATTGCCTAATTTGTTGAAACAATTTTTCTTGTTTATTTTTGCATCTAGTTTATTAAAAACTAAAATTGCATGTAGACTACAAAAATCGATTATAGTAACTATACAGTACAGTACGCATGGGTCATACATGCTGTTTAATTTATGGATGGGCCAATAACCAGTTTATGTTCATGTTTAGGGCCTGCTAACACCTGTGTGTTGATCTTGATTTTGAAACGACCTTGACACTGCACTGCTGTAAAGATAACACATGTATAGTGTTTTCATTAATGTAATGGACCTCTGTGAAAGTTTATTACCTCTCCAAAGCAATATCCTGTCGGCTCAACTTCATACCAGGGCAATAAATGGTAATGGACAAACAATGGGATGGAAACCACACTGAAATTATGTTGAAGATTTGTTCAAAACTATATGTCTAATGATATTGTTCTTTCCTTAAATTTTAGGCCTACTATCAATGTCATTATAAAAGAGGCAATTGTGCTCTCACAGAATAACATGACAAAATGTAAATGAGTATAAATGCACAGATTAAGTACTGTCTCCTACTGTTTATCTCTGCCTCTCCCTGTGTGTTTCCCCACCCAGCCCATTCCCAAGCCGATTTGTTGAGGAAGTGTCGGAGGCCGAGGACAGCTTTCACCAGTCAGCAGCTGCTGGAATTAGAAAACCAGTTTAAGCTCAACAAGTACCTGTCAAGGCCTAAACGCTTTGAGGTGGCCACTTCACTCATGTTAACTGAGACTCAGGTGAGAGTGTCGGACGCTGTGCGATGTATCACTTTAAATTATTGTATCACATTGTACCTTATTTCAGTGTGTGTGTGTATGTGTGTGTGTTCCCTTTATCCCATTCCTCATACTCTCTGTCAAGTTGTGGTACATGGCATTGTAGCAGTATAACACTGTATGAGTTTTAGAGGATAGGGACTTTGAAAGCCCATTGTTTGCTAGAACATATTACTAATGCTTCTAGAAAGAGAATATATTATAAAATTACAAACAGAAATCTGTTAACTGCAGACTGAGCAATGTTGTAATTGTGATTGTAAGATTACAACAATGACATCACTTCAAAGCACACATGCACGGTTTTGTTGCTGCATTACTCTGCCTTTGACATGATTCAATTACTATTTATTATTTGTTGGATAGTGATTGGAGAGCATGTTGTATAACATACTGTAGCTGCCTGGCCATACTATCGTTGCTAATTAATGCTATGATTTGTCTTTTTGCATAGCCATGATGATAAAATGGTAAAGTACTATTACTGTCTTACCTGATTTTAGTCATACTACTTTTGTCATACTGGTTTAAGGCTAACAAACAGTTGTTAAAAAGACCTAAAATCCAGTGAACTCCCCCTGTTATTGTACTTATTTGTCAAAGTTACTTCTCCTAGGACATGTTTAAGCTTGCTTTCAACCATCCTTATTTAAGACATGGTAATGGCGACTTGCTTTTGTTAAACATTTTTTCTCTGTTGTTTTTCACCAGGTTAAGATATGGTTCCAGAACAGACGTATGAAGTGGAAGAGAAGCCACAAAGCCAAGGAACAAGCAGCTCAAACCACCCCATGGACTGATACAGAAAGAAATGAGATGGATATACACAGTGCCAAATCTCAGGGTGACTCCCTCTCCTCAAGCCTGGAGGATGAAAAGGAGCTAGAAGAGGAGGACAAGGATGAAAAAGAAGAGACAGGGACACTGAGGGCAAGTTCTTTAGGCTGTATCGACTTCTTAAGGCCTGCTGTCAGAGGAACAGGGAACTCAAGTTCTTACACAGAGGAGGTGCTAGAGGAAGGAAGCTCAATAACAAGAGGTGGAGTTTTCCCATAAAGTTGTGCATGCTTTTATTTTATGTTTTTATGTTTATTGTTCCTGAAAACACAATAGACATTGCAGCCAGGTACACAAAAATGGTGGCATGAAGAGGATCATTCATTTATTGCAGTGCAATCCACAGTTTCATATCTGTATCTGGAGGTCCTAAATTAACAAAAGGAGATGCTGAGAGCTGTCTATTGGACTGGATATAAAAATGATTGCATAAAACCAGGATGATGCCATCTGTATGTATCTGGATATTTAATGGTTTAATGGCCAGTAATACAGCTGAGTTGACTTGAGAATCAACAAATAATTTTGGTTTGTTATGGGCATTTGTGCATGACTCAGTTGTGATTGAAAGAGTACAAATAAAGTTAAAGCTGTAATCTGAAATAAACTAAATGTAGATTTTCTGAAACTGTAGGAATGGGAGGTAATGGCACTTTCATGGAAAGTAATGGACAAAGACAGAAAAATGAACTTGATGTTGTAAGGAATGTCTGTGTTACATTGTTATTAGTACTTCCTGGTCTGTTACAAATATTGGACAAATATTTGTCTAACACTGGAAATGTGGACTTGGATTCACATTGACCCAGGTTATGTTTTAGGGTATTAAAATGGTGTGACAAAAATAGCTGTTCAGATTATTGAAATACTTTTTGATGATATAGTCATGAATTTCTGTTGTAAAATATCCTTTTTTTTTAGTTTTGTGTTATCTTGGTGAAACTGCATGTAACAGGCTAAAGACACATACACAACGAAATTGCTACATGTAGGGTAACTGTACTCTATGGTAGACCTATTTCAAAATTATTATTTATATGCCATTTTCCTGTATTTTTTAAATTATTGTTACATTAAGCATAGTGTTGCCAATATAATTTAAAATGATGGATTTTTATATGTTTCATTTTAAGTACATCATTAGTGGCTTTGTGGAGACCATTATTTTGAAAAATAAAGTTGAATTCATGACATTTGAGTCTAAAGCCCAGACTGTCAAAGGGAAATACAATGTTTGCAATTTAAGTGTTTGTTAAGAGTTTTTGTTTGTTTGTTTTATGAACCATTCTGGCTGTATGTTAATGATTTTGGTAGTATCTTTAATTATTGGGCAATATTTGTGCAAGTTATCACAAGGTGTTCTGACCTCTTCCGTAAAAGAGCAATTTCCGTATCGCGAAGAGAAAATGTCCCTCTTCGGCTTTAGTAATTAGGCACATATGGCGACCCAAATTGTTACCTGTTGCCATAGCAATACTATGACCTACAAACTTCTTTAGCTAGCTAACCAATTGCCGTGACTGTTAGCAGTCTTTTTCACACTGAAACAGAGTAAGTAACAGTAACGTAGTTTGCAACCTTTATTGTTTGACGTTGGAAAGAAGGTAAGGATACGCTCGTGTGCTGTATGAGCCGAGTTTAATTTAGTAATAAGTCTGTTTAATTGTTAGCTTTGTGCGCCCTGTGCTAGCCAATGTAAAATTACGTTATCCATGTTCAATATTTCACTTACATTTAAGTACATTTTAAATGCTCTTAACTTTGTATTAAATATTGCCTAATGCCATTTGTTTTTAGTGCATAATAGGTGTGCCAACTTTTTGAAATTACAACAAAAACATGGTAAACAACGGACCGCCATCAAAAACTTTGCTCTGTATTTGTCGTTGTGTAAATGCCTTCTCTCTTTCTCCAGTTATGTTAGCTGAGGCTCGGGGTCCAGGAGCAACATGGACCTTTTTTTTCTGCTGGAAACGACTCAAAAGTAACTAAAGACTGAATAGAAACAGCTTTGTACTATTCTTAAGATAGTGCCCACTTTTACTAAGAGCCACTGTACCTGTGCATAAGTGAGATCAGTTTTTATAATTCCCAGAATAATACACCCTCCATACAGCAGTCTATTGTTTATTATTAAGCTGTCCTTGACTTTTCTCTCTGTCTGTTTGTCTTCCTATCAAGAGAGAAATAGGTGCAATTCCAATATGGTCATATATACAGAAATGACCCTGAAGATCTGTAATGAAATTTATTATAACTATTACTGGTCTAATTTGTATGTCATTACATTATTGCCTAGTAGTTAGTCTATTAGATTGCATTGTAATAAAATTGACCTTGTGCTTATTTGCACATTAATCTTAAGTTATTTTGAGAAAATGGCACTGGTGCCTCCATCCATTTCTTCCATCCTTTCTGGTCAGTCCCACAGCATTTGCACAATACTTTCAAGACAGAATAACACAAGTCAGTGTTTGTAGAGAACATGGTCCTTTTTGAAAATGTAGTTGGCATATTGTTGTTTCAAAATAATTGTGTTTATTCAGTCTTAAAGTCATTTGTTTGTGTATTTTTCCAAAATTCACATCTTCTGCATCGCCCCACCTGGTAGGATCAAGGGAATCACCACAGGCAACAGGGAGGGGAGCACCAGCAACAGGTGTCCAGCAAAAGAAGTTGTTTCTTAGGGCTGGAAACGAGGCCAGAGTTGGTCTGGGAGGACTGGGACCTTGGCAAAGAGCTCACCAAAACATTAGTGTTAAAGAACATTAATAGCAAGCTGCAGAAGCTACACTTGAGGTCTTACAAACGTACACAGGCACATCTCTGTATACACATATGTATAAGCTTCACACAAAAAACATGTTAAATTTTACAGTTAGCTACAATATAGGGTAGAAATTTGATGGAAATCTACGGGATCCCCCTGCCCCCCTTGTTCCCTCACAGGTCTCCAGTGTCCAAGTTTTTCACCACCTTAATTCCGCCAACCATTGTTCTCAGCCCGGGGACTTCTTTCTCCATACCAGTCACCTTTAGACCACTACAGAGGGTAACTCATACCAAACTTAACAGCACTAAATCAAACTGATATGTTGAAAGCTGCAGCTCTAGTAAATGTTAAGAAACGTACCGGATATTTTGCATCCTTAAACCACAGACCTAATAAACATTTAGACTGTGGACTGATTTTCTTTATTGTAGACAAATACATTTGAAGTCTCACCATGATGTAATTGGTTAGATACTGTAAGTCTGAATGAAATGAGTGGGTGAGAGGAATGAGGACAAATGAACCTTAACATTCTAATACCTATATACCTTTATATAGCAGAGTTCCATAACATACAGTATATTGAGCACACAGCTTATGTTGTGTGAAAAAAATGACACACAGCATCACAAAAAGAAATTAAATAAAAAGGATATTGTGTCAGTATATTTAAAAAGGCAATGAGTGTTATTTACTAAAGCATTAGGGGTGTTACATGATCTGCCTCAGTAGTTTTAAGATGTCATTTTGTGTGTCTTTCTGACTGCTTGGGGCAGTGTGAGTATGAGGACAGCATCGAGTTCAAAGGTGAAGATGGCAGCTTTCAAGTACGCCTTCGTGCCACCATTCCCTGCCACGCCCTGGAGGTGCCTGACTCTGTGCTGCTGCCAGTCTGTGCTGTTCAACACTCCACACATACTACTTTCTGGCTCAAAAATGCAAGGTACATATGATTGTTTATGTGTGTATATCCATGCATACAATGTGACAGTGTGTGTGTGTGTTTGGAGGCAGAAATTTAGGTTTTCTCTTCTTTTTCATATTGCCATACTTCTTCATCAGTCCCTCTCACCCTCTCCTCTTTTTCTGTGTCTTTCCCATTTTCCACATATTCTTCTTCCCACAGTAAACTCCACACATATTTCCAGTGGATGTGTGCAGCACCATTCCAGCTGAGCCCTGAGAAAGGCCTGTTGAGGCCCAGCCAGGAGTGTCACATCACTGTGGTCTTCCATCCACAAGAGGCACTGGTATACCAGGAACAGGTCTACTGCATGTTTGGAGAAGAAGGGGACAAGGCAGAGAGTTGCTGCACTGTGCTGCTGCAGGGCCTAGGTACCATAACTGGCAGCTGAGACAGGTTGCAGTGAGTTCAGTAAATCCCCAGATTTTCGCTACTGTGTATGTGGTTAAATGGATTTCATAGACTACCAATTAAACTGAACAATTCTGACAACATACTGGGGGTGTAATAGTGCATCATGGACCAATGTATTGTGATTAAAAACGTGACAATGTGCACTGTGAAACTTACAAATGTATTGCAATATTAAGTCAAGACTCCCATATTAGTTATTTATTTAGGGGCCAATACATGTAGGCCAAATCTGTTTTCTTGACCGACCTGTTGACTGTGATGTCCGCTAGGGATAGCTACAGTAAACTAGCCATTAGCCACAGTGTAATTTAACTGTGACAGGTTTTCATTCTTTGTGTAAAGACCCATAAGCCCTGTATCGTGTATCGAACTGAATTGTGAGCTGGTTGTATTGTTGAACCCCTGATGAATATTATCTTAAAAATGACTGTCGGGGGCAAAATTTGTGGTCTAAATGTAAATGGATAGGCATGGTTTACCACCGAAATCAGTTAATAAGATTGCAACTTGCCCTCAACTCTGTGGCTGGTTTGGTTGTATTAATGGCAGTAAGATTGTTAAAAACAAACCTACTTTCTATGGTAAGTAGGGTTGTTTGAGAATAACAAAACACCAGGTTTCCTGTACTATGTTTTTGAGCATGCCCTCAACCTATATGACCACTTAAGCCACTAATATAGCTGTTCTCTGTTCTGCCTGTGTATTACTATGCAAATTTGAGTGAATGTTCGATATTTGTTTTGATTGGAACTTTATTTTTGATAAACTGACAACTAATTGGCTCTGTATTCTGGATGGAACTGTTTAAGAAATAGGAACCAATACTTTGTCATGTTCATCTTGTCTTGCCTCTTCTTTTAGCCAAATACCCATATCTTCAGCTGAGAAATCCAGGTACCAGTGAACAAAGAGAACAAGGATGTCCAGCGCTCCACTTTGGGTCTGTGTCGGTTGGCAGGAGTTTGCAGAAACACTTTGACATCTTCAACCCCTCTCCTGTAAGTAATACACAAAGATACACTAATGCATGTGTATACTGTCAATGATTTTGGGCTCTATTTTCCTGCAACAGCATACAGGAAACGTATCTAAACTCTTAATGCATGTGTATACTGTCAATGATTTGGGCTCTATTTTCCTGCAACAGCGTACAGGAAACATGTATCTAAACTCCAGGCACGGGATATACAGTATGGGCTTGCTTAGCAATGTTTTGTCATTTTCTTTCCCTGTGTCTGTATCTTTTTCTCCTGCCAGTTAATATATGTACTCTATTCCTCAGTTGACAGTGACAAAACTATGTAGAAGTACTGCACATAAATATTCACCCAGTAGTCTGCTTATATCACTGATCAGGCTTTTGTACATGGAAGAAAGAATATCTCCGGTCTTGTAACCAGCAGCAATTATATTGTGCAATTTACTCCCAGCTGCATCCAATGTACAAAATCCACGGGATTCACGCATATAACTTTATAAATGTTTCAGCTTTTTAAAATAGTACAAAAAAAGTTATATCATAATCACTATATTTATGGTGAAAATGACTGTGGTCTGCCAGAGTGTACAGCCAGTGGATGTATCATCCACCTATAGCTGCTATCAAAACTGATCAAACCACCATAAAATGCAAAAACAGACACAACATATATCCTTGAGGTAGTAACAGAGGTGCAGTATATGTGTGTGAAGTTTGTTTGTTTGAAAAAACTGTAATTTAACAGTGGCAGCAGCACACAGTGAGATCTTTACCTGCTGTGTAACAGGATTGATCGGGACGTCTGCGGGGTGTTTGTTATTTATCTTGGCTCATGAGCTGCTTTCATGTGTTATTATTTGTAATTTTTAATGTCGATTTGGATTCCTAAAAACACCGCCGCATATCACCTCTGGCTGCATCCAGTACAGGTATCAGATGGTGTGTCCTGACACACACCAACACTGTTCGACCATATTCATATCTATAGCCACATACTGAGAGCTTGTTTATTTATCTTATTTTAAAATCTTCATGATGCACAATAAAATATTCAAAATTCCAACAGATCAGTTGTGGTTTTAAGGGTTAACTTCAAGTTGGTGTCACCATTAAAATACATATGCATATCTTGTGCATCTATGTGCCTATTCACTTGTTAGGAAAATTGTAAATGCACCTGCGACAGTGATAAGAGGCGGTCTGAGCAGGTGTCATTGCTATCGTTATTTTGATTCAAAATGAGCACGAAAATTGCATTGCACTGCCTAATCAGCATACACATGGCCTCAGCTACACCTCTCCTCCCACCTCAGCGTAAGCACATTCATTTATGGCGGGAAGATACCAAACACACCAATGCGCAAAAAAGTAGACATGCACCTGAGGAAAATTGCATAAAAGCATAAAATACTGCGAATGAGGCAATGCAGAAATTGCACAGGCAGGAAAATAGAGCCCCTTCTGTCTTATTGCGAATCCCCCCCCCCTTTTTTTTCCCCCCCAGGTGACGCATCATTCTCCTTGTCACAACTGTCCAGTGGGATACCCTTTTTAGGGTCAGAGTTCAGCTGTGATGTCACCAGGGGTAAAGTGGCACCTGGTGAATCACAACGGGCCACAGTCACTTTTTCTCCTGCTGTGGTGGATACTGTTTCTGTTGAGTACTTATCTCTAAAATGTAGTGGGGCTCTTAACGAAAGCATGCTCAAACTCACTGGAACCTGTATAGGTGAGGGACAGGCAGAAAAACAGACACAATCAAAAAATATTGATGCAATGTCAGAAAGCCAGATAAATGTGTAGCCCATAAGCTTATTCTTCAACATTTTTAAATTAAAAAGAAAGGGAAAATTTAGCTTAGATACATTTTGATGCATGTTGATAAAAATATTTCTCTTTGTAACTAGGTCCCAAAGTTTCCTTGTCATCCTCTGTTGTGGACTTTGGCTGTACTGAAGAAGGAGGAGCAGTCATACAGAGACTGAAGCTAGTTAATTCTTCACCTGTTGAGGCTATTTACCAATGGGATCTTGACTGTAATGGGCACAGTGTGTTTAGCATCCAGCCAGCAAGTGGTACCATCCGCCCACATGGCCATACCACATTGAAGGCAGTTTATAGGCCCACACAGCCCATTGCACACCACAGAAGAGTGGCATGTCTCATCCTGCATAGGGTAGGAGGCAATATAGAGATATGCTATATACATACTCACAATACAGACACAAACCTATTTCAGGATACCTTGATACCTAATCTTCCTTTTAGGGCCCTCTGTTCCTTGACCTGATTGGTACCTGTCACTCAGAGCTCCAGAAACCAACCATACTGACAGCTGAACACTTGATTTTGTGCAAACTTCACTCTTACCGCAGGCAGCACCCACTAGACACGCTCGGTGTCGTGCAGCAAGATCAGAAAGTACACTTGAACCAGCAGGGGATGGCCTCCACCCTGGAGGAGGTAAAATGCCACAGAGTGATATGCAGATTAGTTTATTTAAATATCTTGAGGGAAAACTTGAAATTTACTATAAAGCCCAGCTGTCACTAATAAATGGCACTGTATCTCTT